TTAGATATATCATAATATGATAAATCTAAAAATTTTATTTTATTTTTTTATAATCATTAGATATCAAAATATTTTAAGTTTTCAAAATGTTTTAGAACTAATTTTATATTTACAATTTAAGGAATAATATTTTTATTTTACATTTTTCTATTTAAAAATATATAAAAAAAAATAATATAAAAATTTATTTTTATTAGTGATTATATTACTTACAAATTAGCATATTAAAATATAAAAATATAGGTACAATCAGACTTATATAATTACATTCTATATAAATACATTTCTTTATAATCATCTGATTTTGTGAAATAGATTTAAATAATAATAAATTACCTTTATATAATTATAAATTAATTATAATCACTATTATATAAAATTCTTAACCTATATATTATTTTTATTATTAAAGTTTACCTCTTCACAATCACTATAATTTTAGTTAAGAAATAATTTTAACCAGAGTTACTATATGAATATTACACAAATTTTCTTTTATAGAAATTTATTTTACATGTACTTTAAAAAAGAAATTGTGTAATTTGATATTTTGTGAAATAGCTATTATCAAAGATAAAATAATCTGCAGTTACATAATATATAAATTATAATTCTAATTAAAATTAAGATAATTAAAAAAATTTATACCTCTATAATAAGCATATTTTATATAATTACTAATTTTTAGAGAATTAAATAGATAACTATATAAAGATTTAACTATATAAGTAAAAATAATATAATAATAGGTTGCAATTTTCTAATATTTATTTATCATCATTTATAATTTAATTTTAATAATATCATAATTAATCAATTAATTACAATTATATGGTATTTATTTATTACTATTTATAATTAATTGTTAAGTTATCTTTAAATTTAAATAATAATTAGAATCAGATTATATTAATTGATAAAATAATATTAATCTTTTTTAAATAAAATTAATTAATAGTATAAAATGATAAAAACAATTTAAAAATTACTAAATTATATTAAAATGCAATTATATAAAAAAAAGGATTTAAAAAAAAAGGAAAATTATTATTATTTTATTTACTAATATTATAAATAGATTCTTTTATATAAATATATTATTATAGAAAAGATAATAATAATATAGAATTTTTACAATAAAAAGGAAATTATTAGAAAAAATCAATTTTACTTTTATAAGTCAAATATGATTTTTAGGTCAAAATATGTTCAGATTTAGCATTAACTCATTTTTTATTTTTTAGCTGTTTTTTTCTTTTTTACTACAAAGGTCTAATATGATTAATTTATATAATATAATATATAAATATTTAACATATTAAATATATTTAATAATTAATATAATTAAATATTTAAAATATTTAATATATTTAACATTTCTAATATAGTTAATATAAGTAATATATTTTTATTTTTTAATAAATTAGATATAATAAATATATATTTATATTTTCTATATAATTAATTTTATATAAATATAAAGTAAATTTGCTTAGTAACTAAATTAAAATTAGATAAACTATTATTAGAAAAAATTAGAATTTATTACATTTAGTATTTACTTCTATTCTATTTTTATGATTTTATCTCTAATTTTAATATTTCAGATTCTAGTTAGTGATAACTGTCTTTATTTTTTTCTAACTTTATAATCTAATATTAAATTTATCAATTTCAGCTAAAAAATTTGCTATAGTTTTTTTTATTTATTGATCTTAGCCTTAAACTTTATTTTTAACTTTATTCTTTAGCATTAAATTTAATAATTTTAACTATGGATCTAATATTTTTTTTACAAAATGAATTAATCTTAGATTTTATTTTTAAAAAAAAAAATTTACAATATTTATAATTATTTAAAAATAAAAAATAATATGAAATTTTTTTATTTTAGAAAATTTCATCAAAAAATTTTATTAATATATATTATTAAAAGAAAAAGTAAAATTAATAAATATATATAAAATAGTTTATATATTTATATAAACTTTTATTAAAAGATTAAAGGTAAAACTTAAATAATGCATATAAAAAATTGATTTAAATTAAAAATTTGTTATTTAGAAAGAAAAATATCATAAAAGAATTATTTATATAAAGTAAGTTATTTTGAGAGATAATATTCAAATTTCTAATAAATTAGATATAAAAAATCATAATAATAAATATTATCAAAAAATTTACATGATATAGAAATCATTTTTGAATAAGAAAAGGCCCATTTAAAAATGGGCTATTCACAATTGAAAATTTTAGAATTGGCATATAATGATCGTCACTTAGACGTTCATAAATTTGTCCTACAGAATGTCCTCCTTTTGGTATCATTTAATGAATATCGAACGCGCTGTTTTATATTTCTCCAAATTTTGTCTTCGCTGTTAAGAAAATTAAAATTTTTAGAACATTATTACTGCAAAAAATGTTATCGACATTTCGATTATTAACAAAAAAACCATTATTCATACGTCTTCAACATCCTTGTTTAAATAGTTCGATAACAGGAACATTAATACAGCACTCTAATATATCTTTTCCATCAAAAGAAATTATAAGGAGCTTTAATTTTTTTGCAAGATTCAGAGAAAGTAAAAATGAAGATAATATAATGCCATTTGATACTGTAGTTTTAGCTGATAATAAAAGTATTTCAGCTGATAACGAAATAGAATTCGAGAATGAAATATTTCCAAATAACTTTGAAACTAATGTAGCGGTTAATTTTGATAAGAATAAAAGTGTTGATTTTGAGGCTAAGGAGTCAGAGGAATTAGCTTCTGAAAAATTGAATAATCCGAATAATCTCAACAAAAATATCACCGATGTATTAAAAGGTTATGATTTTAGATGACACTTTATTTTTCTTAATACAACAAAAAGGGAATAACGATAATTTTTCTTTACTTTGTAGAACTTGCAAACAAAGAAAAGGCGGTCGGTGAAATTTTTAGAGAACGTGCATATCGTGCCGCAATAAAATCTATTGAAGAATATCCAAAGAAAATAGAATCTGGAAAAGAAGCTCGTGAACTAGAATTTATTGGATCAAGTATTGAAACGAAGATTAATGAAATTTTGGAGACGGTGAGTGAAACATAGTATTCAATGAACGGTATTATTTCATTCCTTTATAGTTTACGCATTGCACTTACAAAGAAATTAGGATAATTATTTAGATTACTTAATTGATATATATATATATTGTTTATTTAGGGTACATGTTCTTATAAATCGGGGTATCCTGATAGTGTTGAAAGACAAATATTTAATATGATGATAAAGATACCACGAATCGGGTATAACGTGTAACTTAGAAAGTAACCGAATAACTTTTGTATATCAAATAACTATAACGACATATAACTAATGTAAAATTATATTTTTATTTACATTAAAGAAGGGCCAATGCGATAAAATTTATAGATAAGGGTTACAAAACTGTGGAAGAATTAATAGATGACCCAGATTTGCAACCAGACCAAAAATATATAATTATGCATAGAAAGGAATTGGATAAGAAAATTCCAAGGTGGGAAATGGAATCAATTCATGTAAGTAATTATATATAATTCAGTTATCCTTAACTTAAATAGGAATATTCCTAAAAATTTTATTTTTTATAGAAATATATTTATCTAACTCTGAAACAATTAGATGATCGTTATCTCGCTGAAACATGTGGTAGTTTGTATGTTTAATACAAAATTCATTTATTCACTCTTAATGATGTTTTCGAAATCTTATATAACTATATGTTTATGATTAGTCGTCGAGGAGCAGAATTTTCTGAATCATTGAATATTGTTATTTCACATCCTGATTTCAAAATTGATTATGCTACTGAAAATAAGGATAATTTTTTGAAGAAATTGATTAATGATTTAAAGAACAAAGGGTTCTGTACTGATTCCTTTCTCATGGAACCTTACAAATACCTAGTAAGGAATTTTTTTTTACTTTTTTTGTGGTGGTATTTATAATATATATATATTATGTATTGAGGGAAGATGAATATATTATTAGGCAATTTGTCGACTCCCTCCACTAAATCCAAAAGCAAGAACATATTTGCGTCGTAAAATTGAAATAAGGTAAGATTAAAGAATTTACATTATTACTAGTATTATTGATAATTTATTTGCCTTTTGTTTTTAGTGCCGTACCATATGAAAGGTATTGGCTTACGATTTTAGCGAAAACGGGGGATAAAACATTTTATAAATCATTACAAAAAAGAGCACATGAAAAAGGGTTTAAATTAAGTGATACTATATTAGCGCCAATAGAACAAAATAATGTGGTTGGGAAACCATTAAATATTAATAGCGAAAATGACATTTTTAGAATATTGAATACAAAATATTTAGCACCAAAGGATCGAGATTGGAGGAATCCATAATAAAAAGTCATCACTAACTACAGTACATTTATTGAGAAATTGTCAACCGAAAGGTTATCTATAGGTAATGTAAGATGATTCATTAAAATATCATATAAGAAAAATATTACTTTATAATTTACGGACGAATTTTTTTTTTTTTAAAGAAAAATAAAAACTAATCTAATTTTCCAACTTTTTATTTTTCTTTAAACATTTGATTTTGTTTTCTAATTCATTCATTTTGTTTTCCATTTCTTGTTGAAGTTCAATAAAAGCTAATTTATACCAAAGAACATGTAACCCAATATAAGTTATTGAACCAATTACAAAACAATTAACAAATGAAGGTCCATAAACATTCCAAACTTTGATGTTCTCATTTTGTATTGAAGTTGTCGTCGAATACTCAGAATGGTGGATTGAAGCTTTGTTTGTTCTAGAAAACAAAGGAAATCGGTTATGAATCGTGGAAGGTGAAAATCGATTCAGACGTGAAAAATTCTTTAAATTGATTATTGATCTTAATGAATTCATTGTAAACTTTTGGAATTTATTTTACTAATTTTCACGATCTATTTTGATATCGGGAAGAAAATATCCAATCAAATCGTGAGTTCAATTGTGTAGATCTTTTTTGATTGAAAAGGAATTTTGCTATATTGTAGGTTATAGTAACCTAGAAAATAAATATAAATTAGAATAGAATCTGAAATCTCATATTAGAACAGATGAAAAACAATAATCAATATGTAAGTTTACATATAAATAAAAGTTAAATTTTCATACATATTGGTAGATAGAATGTAGGGATTAAAATTGGAATTCAAATAGATCTTAATATATAACGCAAGTTTTTTTTTTACAATAGATTAATTATCTGCTTCAAATTGAATGTATTAACTTAAAGTAAATAGAAGCATAGTTTTTGAAGTAGAATATGTATAATTTTACCTTAAATATAATGAAAATTTTATTTAGATTAAAATAAATAAATTAAAGGATTAACAAAAAAATATATATATATATAAATTTTTTTAAATTAATATTAAAGTTAAGCATATAAAACCTTTACAATAGAAAGAGAAAAACTGCTAAAAAAAATAATTTTACTTTTATATATTAAATGTGTTTTTAGATCAAAATATATTCAGATTTAGCATTAACTCATTTTTTATTTTTTTTTCAAGCTGTTTTTTCTTTTCTATTATAAAGTTTTAAATTTTAGAAAAATCAATTAAAATATAAAATAAATTTTATTTTATTATTTTTTTATTTTACTTTTTAGATATAAATTATTATGATTTTTTTCTATAATATTTTTTAAAACCTTCTCATTTTCATTTTCTCTAATAAAAATTGTAACTGATTTAATTAAATTTATTTAATACTTAATAAAAAATTTAAAAAAATAATATATATTAAAATAATTTAATTTAAATAAATTTGTAAAAAAATTGATTAAAAAATATTCTTTAAATTATAAAAATAAGTATAAATTAATTGTTTATATTGGTGATTTACCTTAAAAATTGTAAAATTTAATTTTATATATATAATAAAAAATAATAATAAAAATAATTTAATTATAAATTATAAAAATATATATGAGGCCTTTGCAATAGAAAGGAAGGAAACTCAAAAAAAAATAAAAAATGAGTTAATAATAAATCTGAACAAATTATAGTATTTAGAACATTTTTGGCTTATAAACTAAAATTTTAATTTTTTTGGAGTTTCCTCCCTTTCTATTGCAAAGACTCCATATAATACTTTAAGTTTTATTTAAAATAAAATAAATTATTTTTTATTTATAAAAATTATTAAAAATATATATAGATTAAAATTTATAAATTGTTTTTACTAGATAACACTCTTATAAGAGTGTTATCCAGTTCAGTTATAATGTTACCTAGTTATGAGTAAATTGTTGCCTAATTACTGTTTTTACTATTCTGTGATTATTTTATTGCTTTATTGATATCTATTTATTTTTATTGCTCTGTAGCCTTTTTATTGCTTGTAGATATTTGCTTGATTTTATTGCTCTATCCTCTTTTTAACACCTTCTAGCTATCCGCTTATTTTTATTGTTCTGTGATCTTTTTGTGATCATGATGCTAGGTCAGCATTATTTGCTAAAATCGTGTTGTAGTCAAGTAGCATAATCAAATCATATGACTTTATTTTAGTTAATTTCAGCGTTCTTAGGTCACCTAAAATTATGGTTAGTTGAATTATTGTAATTTACTGTGTCAAAAAAAATCATGTGTGTGATACGCTTCTAGAACCTTCCTGTCACTTCTCTGTTACTTTCCCGCTACTTTTAAGGTTCTAACTGGAGAATCTGATGGTTAGAGAATTGGAAGTACTAAGATTGGATTATGTAATTACCAGAAATTAGTACTGAACTTGCTTGCAATCCTACCCTTATTTAATTGCCAAGTTGAAATACGAAGTGCTGAATTTACAATCCATATATTTTCCTTTTCAATTGTCATCTCTTAATTACTGAATAAGGCACAAAGTGCTGAATTAGTTCAAGCTATATTGCTTTTATACCCTTTTTTCGTGTATCTTTCTGAGTCTTTTTGTCTTTCTGATCTCTTTCTTACCTATTGACGGTAGTATTCAAAAGTATAATTTCTTATTTTATTTCTATATAATTTTACTTTTTGATACTACCAAATCTATACTCTTATTTTTGCCTGAGCCTTTCTAGATTTCTTTCTCATATAGTTACTATTTTAGGGTATTTCTATGTATTATTACTGTAAGTTAAGCACATGTAAAGTGCCAAATTAGTTCAAGCTATATTGCTTTTTTTTTCGTATATTCTCCTGAACCTTTCTGCCTTTCTAACCTCTTTCTTACCTATCCCTAGTACTATGCTAAAGCAAAATTTTCTTATCTCTTTCCTTATATATTATTCTACCTTGATGTAGTACTAAATCTATGCTATATTTTGGGTTTCTAGAAGTCTTTCTCATATAATTGATACTTTGGAATACTACTACATCGATTACTTTTAGGTATTATTATATTGATTACTTTAGGATACTACCATTAACCTAATACTTTACTGGCAAATTTTAGCAATTATGTTTTTTTATTTTAAACTTTGCTAGTTTCTCTATTATTTTATATTACTTTCTTACATATATACCATGCTTCTTGCGCAAAAAAATGCTAGGCCTCATCCACTTGTTTGTTCTGAATTACTTGAATTAATTTTTAATAATCTCAAGATTAAAAATACACTATATTCCTGTCTTACTGTAAATCATCAATGAAATTTTGAAGCATTTCGAACTATTTTAAAGTAAAAAGAAAAGGAACTTCATAAAGATCTTAATTTTATAAAATATCGGTTAGACTGAAGTAAACAAAAATAACCTGTATTCATATAATTCTTTATACTCCATATTATGATTGAATTACAGCAGGAGAAGAAATTGTAAATGTTCATGCTGTAATCAAATCCTATATAAATAATCCTATAAGAATTCTCTCCTGTCTTATTAAGACTTCTGTTTTATGAAATAAATTTCATATACAATGACAAAATCTTTATAAACAGACAAAAAAATTGTTAAAAGATATCAATCTACTTGATAATATCAATAATACATAAAAAGAGCGAATATATAGACAAAATTGTTAAGCTATATTGTCAAGTACCCTTAGCCAAAATTGTTACTTCCCACTAAGAATACTGATAATACTTATTTTTTACTTATGCAATAGTAGTGACCAAGTTTAATTTTACTTTTCTAGATTTGCATATATCTAGATTAATTCTTCTGATCAAATTAGTCTGAAGCTGGTGATTATTACCACAAATTTCTGTATGTGATATTTTATTATACTTATAAAATGTAAGATGAAATTGACATTAAAGCTCTGGCATATGCCTAGCGATGTGAAGAAAGATGCTTAGGCAAAGTTAGTCCTAATACATATTTATGGTTATGTAAAAGGGTCATTAATGGGAAGCACCATATAAAAATATGAAACAGAATTATAGATGGTATAAAATTTGTCCTAATATATCAGAAAGAACATGCCAGTATATTTTCAAAGATTTATTAAATAAAAAATTTCCACTCTAAAAGCCTAAATTCTTAGAGGGATTACATTTAGATAGTTATAATTAAAAATTAGGCTTGGCCTTTAAATATAGTAATAGCCAACATTACCAAATTATCCCTTTTTTTACCTGTAAGGGTAGATGAATTTAGACGTACAAATCTAACATGATTAGAAAAAAAGAGCGCTATGCTATAGAGAAAGAATAATTCTTATAACTATATCCTACTGCGTAGTAGACTTAAAAACTTTTATAAGAAGCGCCTTGTACACATTTGGTTATATTCTAATACTCACCTAGGAGGCAACATAGGTTTTTTCTTAATATGCATTAACTATTCTCTTATGAAGGGTTGTTGAGGTCCTGATTTGTTTAAATAATATAAAATAAGCATTGAAGAATTCTTTTCAACAACAATTCTCTGAATCTTATGCAGGTTAGAAGACTATATTGGATCTGTTATTCTGCATCATTCGAAAGGATCATTTTTTCACTCTCCAGAAGTGAGTAAAAATCAGATAGTAGTATCTTTTAATAGTTGTGATTCATTAACACTTATTGGGCGATTATATTTTACTGATAGTTTAGAATATATTTGCTCAAGTTTTATAGTATCATTAGGACTCATCCAATCAATCAAGTTGGGTTATCATTCATATTATCAACAATTTTCTTGCAAACTGCTCACATTCTCTATAATATTTATATTCTTTATAACGCATGCCAGTAGATAGGAGAAACTCTACTGAATACTGATTTTTAAAAATTCTTCTAGAAAAATGTCTAGCATAATTGTCAAAAATAGCCAAGCTTGTATGTCTGAAACGTGCTATAATTTTTCAGATCTCAATGCTATGTTTATCCACTAATAAAGTCACGTATCCCATAAACTCAGTATCTTTATCATATTGCATTTTTCAAGGTCAGTTAAGAGGTTTATTAGGATTATTATATATACTCTTAAATGCTTCTGCAACTTACTTACTGCTCTTTGATGTTAAAAAAATGAAATCTTTATATCTAGTCGCATAATCTATAACCAATAGTACATAGTAATATATTAGAGAATCGTCATCATCTAGTAAATTTGTATTTACATTTTTATCATATGATATTTTGATTAAATCACATTAGTGCACAGTATTTAGCTTTGTGATTTTAGAGTAACTGCCATAAGGTATATGCTTTGGTAAAGGACAAAAATTTGATATATTGCTTGGCTCTCAAGTAATTTTTTTACATCAATAAATGGAAAGCTATAGTTGGCTTTTTTACAAGCATTCTATAATCCCTTAACATTTTGATACAAACCTTCAAGACAATAATATAGTTTTTGTAAGGCAAGATGCTGATCTAAATTATGAGCTTTTTGAGGATTGATATTAATCGTAGGTGTTTATTTTGCTATAATTTGGTCTAGTTCTCACGCTTTTTGAGAATCAATATA